TTGAGATATGATTTCTAAGGTCTCAGTATTTATAGTACAACTACCCCACCCTCCAAACCGAAACGCCTTATTGGTACACGGCAGAAATAGACAGGGCAGTGGTACCTACCCATGTGGACTCACAAGACGTCCTACCACTTGAGACTTTAGAACTTATATCTCAAGGTGGGTTTCATTTACGTTGTAGTATATGGGCTTCAGTAACCACTTAACACCAGGTGGGATGTGAGCTCGTCCACAGTTCTAAGAATGGAAAATTGAAAATTGAAAAAAAATATTGAAAGATAAATGTCTTGTATTAAGCGAAATGTCGTTTAAACCAGCCATTCAATCCTTCCATACAATGTACCTGTGTCATTTCCATTGGTTATATTTCGACAATGGTACCGCCGGTGATCGATGTCCGCAAATTAGCTGCGACAGGCTGCGTTCCGGCGCGCCGCCGAGACCACGAGGTGATTATTCACGCTAAACTTTTAAAAGGATCTCTTATATGTAATTATACATTTGTATTTCTGCGCTTTAGAGGCCGAATTCAGACTTTGATCACTGCGAAAAGTATGTGCGTTGAAAAAGAATCGTTTGGGATACATTTTTATTTTATTTTCATTACTTAGATGGGTGGACAAGCTCTCAATCCACCTGGTGTTAAGTGGTTACTGGAGCCCATAGACATCTACAACGTAAATGCGCCACCCACCTTGAGATAAGTTCTAAGGTCTCAGTATAGTTCAACGGCTGCCCCACCCTTCAAACCGAAACGCATTACTGCTTTACGGCAGAAATAGGCAGGGTGGTGGTACCTACCCGTGCGGACTCACAAGATTTCCTACCACCAGTGATTAAATATTAAGCACGTAAACTTTCTTGGATGCCTGTATCGGATTTGGCTGGGCCGAGGCTGAAAAGGAGGTTGATACCAATTAATTTTTTTAAATATTCCGTCACATATTTAACGTCAACAATGACTTCCAAATTCAAATATTCAAAAACTTTATTGCTTCTTCCCTGGTGATACCATTTTGTGAAATTCGTTAAGTAAAATCCACAGTCGTCCGTCCATGTCTATTGCAAATCACAGTGTTATATATTTTTGCAACGGATAAAAGATATGTAAGTATTTTTTCTTCAGTTTAAAAAAATATCCTTTTTATCGTACATACTCTCTCCAATTTCTACTGTGACGCTTTTGGTTCTAACGTGTTTTTGTGGAGAATTCGTCATTTATCCATAATATGACATGATAAATGTATTCCTCAGTAGACAAAACTTTAGTTTTCCATATTAAGTAATAAAAATGCGAAAGCGTATTTTACTCTGTTCATAAAACCGCCTTTATCCGACCTCAATTTTACTTATTAAGCGCATATATTCGTAAAGGGGGAGAGGGTGCGCCGCATAAAATTGTCGATTTAAAGTATTTTTAGATTAATTGATGGATTGGAGGCGTCGCCTGTAAGTGCATTCTCGAGGGGCGAGAGAAATTATAGATACTTAATTTATATATATTTTTTGAAATCCACGCTTCTTAAATCAAGATTATTTAAAAAGCAATAGCTATTGTATCGGCGTACAGTGGGCTTACGTCCCACCAATTGTAAAGGAGATGTTCCTTCGAGCCGATCGGTGCCAACACTCATTCTCCGCGATATAATTTTAATTGTACAGTGTTGATACATATCTAATAATATCAAACATAATATGTTTTGGTGTGTTTTAAGTGGAACGTTTGAATAAAAATAGTTTTATTTTATGAGTTTTTAATTTCACATTCACTTGAACTTTTGCGATTAACAATTGTCGTTATTCATCGAAATAGTTCTCTCGCTTTGTTAAAACTTTTCTTACGAGATAGCAGATATAGACCGAGGAGAGAATAACGAAATAAGTTCAAGTAAAAAGCTATCTAGTAACTTTCCGTTCAGTGTCGGAAAGACAAAGTTCAGCAATTTCCTGGCAACGAAGACACTTGACATTCCATCAGTCAGTGTGTTGACAGCGCGTGGGTGCGACTGGAGGTGTGTACTGGACACAGTCTAAATAAAAAACAGTTATGAAACATCATATTTTGAATATTGTGGGTTCTTATATATTGTTTTAATTTGTAGTCCTTCCAAGTACTTCAACTACTACACAAGACAAATTATATTATTACGCTCCTGGGCTCGTTCTCAGCATACAAGGCACACTGGAGACAAAACCCGGGAGAGGTAAAACGGCAACTGCGGTCAACAACCCCAAAGTCACGAAAACAACTCTACGTCTACTATACCGGTCAGCGCCCAATTAGACCGCCCAGGCCCAGCCGTAACCAGCCCACCAGGTAGAGACCCGTTACACCGCCAGTAGGTAAATCATTAAGTCCCGTTCTTCAACTGGAGGGGGTTTTCACTACGGGTTGTTCCTGACACAGATTATTGTTGGACCTAGAAACGCAAATATGAATGATCAACGATTTATAAATACTGCTCGCTTTTTTGAAACGAAGTTCCTTAAGAGACGATGCGGAGGGGTACCCTAACCGGGAAAAAACGTCCGTAACGTAAGATTTTTTCTATTTAGTTTGTTACGCTGCACGTAAGTTCAACAATTCCTGAATCGCGGTGACGAGATGTTACACAGTTGATACACCTTCTCGTATTTCTCTTGCTAAATCATACTTACCTGACGTGGGGGATACCGTGATCGTGCAGCCGGTTCCTTTAGGGCGAGGCTGCTCCATTGCACTACGGAGTGGTTGACCCTTGCGAGTTGCGATTATCCCGGATAATGCGGATTAGTATGATCGCTATACAGTGTCTAATGTATAGTCTACGTAATGACGGTTATTATTAGTATTTATTTTCAACATTCAAAGCTGTGTCTTTGAATGTTATTATTATAATTTTTTTATAAATCATTGTGAATAAAATAAAGTTGATAACTCTATAAAGTAGTTTTATATATTTTTTTACCAATAAAAAAATCATAATAAAAAATGCATACCCGAATAATTATTTTCTTTATACCTCGAATAGAACTTAAAATTAGTATTTTTACTTCGTTCCTATCCGGTGTCTCAGGATACCACACATTTTTTTATTGCTTAGATGGGTGGACGAGCTCACATCCCATCTGGTGTGAAGTGGTTACTGGAGCCCATAAACATCTACAACGTAAATGCGCCACCCACCTTGAGATATAAGTTCTAAGGTTTCAGTATAGTTACAACGGCTATACCCTACCCTTCAAACCGAAACGCATTACTTGCTTCACGCCAGAAATAGGCCGGCTGGTGGTACCTACATTGTTGTAAACTAGCCGTAAAGCATTTGCACTGTATTCATGCGGTTAAGGCCGCCTTCGAATACCGCACGCTGACCCATTGTTACTTCAACAACTCGCATAGCTGCATTCACCAAACACGGACTCAAAGGGAATGCTTTACACTGTGACGCGATGATGAGAGGTATTTGGATAAAGCGCGGAGTATGTTTGTGGCGCCCTTTGTACGGCACTAAAGAGCTGAATACATGTTTCCTGCAATGCACCGACCATATATTTTTGTAAATTTTTGTTAATCGTTATCTTTAATTAACATAGGCAAGACAACTGGTGTAATATTTGCATCATACAGGGTGTTGTTTTATTTAATTGCATTTGTAGATCACCTAATTGACGGCCTTGTACGACAGATGACGCTTTGTACGTGCCAGTCCTAATTATTTAGGATGCAATGGAAATTTTGCAATATTTTTTTTGAAATGACATTCAATGTCACTACTCCTGCCCGCTGAGTTCCACTGGATCTTCTTTGAGAATCTTGGCGGCGCTCGTGCAATTGTTAGCAAACACCACTACTTCTGCAAAGCTGGAAAGACCTTCGGGCTCTCACTTATATTCCATCATACACAGCTCAGTTTCATTTTTCTTCTCTGTTTATCAACCGATCTTCTTTTTATTTCTTCTTCCTAGTCGTACACTCTTGCAGAGTGGACATGGTCATGCATCAGTCGGATCCTGCGATACCGATACTTTCGCGACGCCATATGGCACGGTGCTTCGCAGAGTGAGAGCAATCATGTATGTTGGAGTGAGTCACAGATTTTATGAGGTCGGTCCATCGTGTTGGAGTTCGCCCACGAAAACTTTTGCCCTCGACTATCCCTTGCACCACCAACCGCTGAATAGAGTATTTTTATTTATTAAGTAGTAACTGACGAGTATTTTTATTTCCAACAAAATACAATTTCCAACAAAATATAAACGGTTAATTTTGATCCCACCTTCACAATTTTTTTTATCAAAAACGAAACACAGGAGAAAACGTAATAAATAAAATGATTATAAATCTTGAGGTTGGTCGAATTTCGGCAAGTACCCGTTTTAGTAGAAAAATATATTTTCCGTGTACCTTTTAAGGCTATAATAACTCTAAAACACTTTAAGCCAAAACAATATGACTTGTCCTAGGACGTCTTGTGAGTTCGCATGGGTAGGTATCACCACCTTGCCTGTCTCTGCCGTGAAGCAGTAATGCATTTTGGTTTGAAGGGTGGAGCAGCCGTTGTAACTATACTGAGACTTTAGAAATTATATCTCAAGGTGGGTGCCGCATTTACGTTGTAGATGTTTATGGGCTCCAGTAACCACTTAACAACAGGTGGGATGTAAGCTCGTCATTGGCAGAGAAAAAATTCAGTACCCGAATGGCGGCACAAAATGCCTTTGACGAGTTTATTGGGTCCAGTATACCTGACTTTTCAAGAAAGGCATTAAACAGCTACCTTTGTGCTGACAGACTTAGATCGATACCACCGGTGCATATTTTGTTAGAATATTGAAATGAAACTTCTTTAGAATCGTTGTGTGTGATTTCAAACTTGATGAAACGAAAAAATAAGTATGCCACGATTGGCTTGCCGAAGCGGCTCCGAGCGGCGCCGACAAATCACGAAACGCTCCACACGGTCTCGCGTCCCCGACTAGTTCAGTGTATTTTTGACGTCCGTGCACGCTGTCGTGGCTCTTGGAGTGCCCTGAGGTACTTTTATTTCTATCTAGTTTGTTATCATCAGATGTCGCTGCACGTAAATTCAACAAATCCTGAATCGCGGTGACGAGATGTTACACAGTTGATAGACGTTCTCGTATTTCTCTTGTTAAATCATACTTGCCTGGCGTAGGGATACCGTGATCATGCAGGGGGTTCGCCCAGGGTGAGGCTGCTGAAGTTTCACTTCTACCGTGTATGACTTACACACACACACATTTTTTTTTTATTATTATAAATATTAACAAAAAATGGCTTTAACTTTTCATATACTACTTTTATTGTTGGTAGGACGTCTCGTGAGTCCGCACGGGTAGGTACCACCACCCTGCCTATTTCTTCCGTGAAGCAGTAATGCGTTTCGGTTTGAAGGGTGGGGCAGCCATTGTAAAACTGAAACCTTAGAATTCATATCTCAAGGTAGGTGGCGCCAGTTACGTTGGGGTCCGGTAACCACTTAACGCCAGACGTGAGTTCGTGCACTCTCCTAAATAATAATAAAAAACCTAAACATAAATTTCCTAATATAAGCTACACGCAAATATATTTTTCACTCTAAGCTTGCCCTAAAACAAAAAAGCTGTTAAATTAAATTTCCTTACATATCGCGCACGTCAATAACATAGTTATTGTGATGTCACTTTTTTGACGCTTAAAAATATCTTGACTGAGTTTTCTCTATAAGACAATGTATGGGAGAAGAAAATTACAAAATAACGCTTGTATCAAAGGAAGTTTCTTTGTGGTTAGAGAAGCAAGCGCTGGCCGATACAATTTCGAGCCATGTACCCATCACTGAATTAGAGGCTTGAGTTGTGAGCGTTTTGTGGAAAATAATTCAGTGCTCTTCATATGCGACATCTTCAACGAATGATATCATCCGCCATGAAAAATTTGGTATTTTTTGCCTAGCACTGGCCATTACAAACCGGAAGGTATTTTTGACTCGTGGTAGAAATTGGCATAATTCAAATTACCTGTGGCAATTCGATCTGCGAGCTGGTATGGATTGGTTTATTTCTGCTGTAAAGCAAAGATAGATTACTGTTTGATACTTCAATGAAATCCGCATATTTATTGCACTGGCAATACTGGTTATATTAGTGATTCAATATAATAATATATTATGTGCACTTATAAGTGGTATTGACGCCGTGAGCGACGATCATACCTTGGCATTAACGCGTGACAAACAAAAAAAATGCCACCTGAAGATGTTGTAAATTAAACGGGAATAAAAAAAAGTTACGTAACATAATTATTTCAGAGATTCTTAAGCAGTTTTAAATCCTAATAAATATAAAGACAGACCAATGAAATTCCTAAACGCTTTCGGATATCGAGCGAAACAGTTAAATTTATATTCCACACTGACGTTTCTCTTGCAACTTCCACCATCACCACTAAATGTCGCTACAGCACGGCGATCTGCGGAAATTGGCAGAATCGAATTAAACTTACCCATTAGATACATTAAGCTCTGGAACCCAATAAAAAGCCGATAATCGCTTCAAAGTCACCTTCTACATTTTACTACACCGGTTTGTGTAATTTTAATAGTCAGCAAACATTTTGAGGTATCTTTATGGGTTCCATAATTGTTCCAGATTCCTTTATATTTGATTTTAATTTGACTTCTACGCGAGTTTTACTAATGAAATTTTCAAGTAAAATTACACCTACTTTATTGTAACATCGTAAAACTTTGCAAAATAATTATTTGCTGTAATTACTAGCAAAATTTTGTATCGTCATTTGGTGGATCGGGTTTAACGATGAAGAAAATTCTTGGAAGATGGTAGTAGAATCAACTTTTTTGTTTGGACTAATGAAATTTATTTTTGCTACCCTCAATTTAAACTTCTTTTTTACGTTTAAGTTAAATATCCTTCAATTCGATCCAAAAATGGACCAAATGTTGGTGCCGGTACAGACGTAGGATAATAAAATTGTAATTTCCATATTCAACTCGAGAATAAGACTATACGAGTTTTGCTAATTACAACTTTGTACAACATAGTTATTATACAAAAAAACTAAATGTTTTGAAATTCTTAATGTATATGAAGGCCATCAGCATTAAAGTGGCCTAACCCACCATTTTTCAAAATTGGTGCTTATAAATTGCAAACGCGAAAAAATTTGACGCAAAACCGGCCTATCCTTGGTTTCACCCATAGATAACAGATGGCTTTGTAAACATTATTTTCGCGCGTATTGTTTTTGCCTACGAAGCAGTGTAAAAGTAAATTCAAACCTCGATATCTCCACACTAACTAGGGGGGTCTTAGGTCACTTTTGCGCTGATGGCCTCATATAGCTGCACACTCTTAATGATGAATGAATTTACTGGTGGTAGGACCTCTTGTGAGTCCGCGCGAGTAGGTACCACCACCCTGCCTATTTCCGCCGTGAAGCAGTAGGCGTTTCGGTGTGAAGGGTAGGGCAGCCGTTGTAACTATACTTGAGACCTTAGAACTTATATCTCAAGGTGGGTGGCGCATTTACGTTGTAGATGTCTATGGGCTTCAGTAACCGCTTAACACCAGGTGGGCTGTGAGCTCGTCCACCCATTTAAGCAATAAAAAAAAAATTACATCTATAACCTCCAATAAGCACTTAATACCAAGTAAGCTCGTCTAAAGCAGTGCAAGAACTGAAAATCGTCGCTAAAAACAACGACAAAGCACACGGATTTGCTATTGTTCCGGGTTCTGTACATATGGCGATTTGCCAGAACGAAGCGAACTAGTTGGCCTCTTAACTGTGGCTCAGAATTTTTTGTTATGAAAACGCTTGTATGTACCTGCCTCTATTAAAATTGGCGATCAAGATCAAAACAATAAAGAAGAAATGTGGTAGAATGAAGTGATAATATTATTAGGGTAAGATATACCTACCATGAATACAATCGATCAATAATCTATGTAGTAGGGTCATGTGCCAAAGTATTGAATTATCGGTAATTTTACTCACACGCGTCATCCCGTGTTACGCTCGACAAAAGATGCCCTACAGAACTTTTATTTATTAACACGCTTTTCTTAGCTTGATACGTAGAATTCTATGTAACTAAAAGATTTGAATATCATTTTCCCCGACATTAAGACGTCCGATTAACTTAACTTACTAACCTTCATGCTCACATCAAGAAGCGATGACAATAGGTTAGTTTTATACCGCCTTACGCAGGTCCTCTCGGGGCATGGCTGCTTCGGGAGGTACCTGTGGAGGGTCTGCAGGAGAGAGCCACATCCGGATTGTCACCAGTGCGGGCATCCGGATGATGACGCTCAGCACGTACTCGAAGCGTGCCAGCGTTGGGAGCACCCGCGGCGAGATCTCATCGCGGTGCTGGGGAGAGACCTCTCCTTGCGGGCTGTCATTGCCCGCATGCTAGAGGACGAGAGTTCGTGGGAGGCTGAGGAGCGCGAAAGGGAGTGGGATCCCTCTTCGGCTCCTCTGCGAAGAAGGCGGGGTGCGCGACGCGGTCATGATGCTCCCGTTAATCTCCCGTAGGGACTGTTGGGTACTGGACGCGGGGGCGCCCGGTGCTCTGCTGTCGGTTCCGTGGTGAGGCGGCGCAAGATGGCTCCTATGCGCCACTCACGGTGTGTCTCCCGAGACGACGTCCTACATGATCTTCCCGGGGATGGGATCCCGTCCTATTGTCAGGACGGGTACCGGCGACGGCGAGCCTGCGGCGCGCATTATGCGGTACCGTAGGTTTCGTGGAGTTGGAGTGGTGGAGCTCGATGGGGTTTAGTCGGTAGTCGGTTTTGCGGGGCGGGTCCTGCGTGGTAGCCTCGCGCGCCTTTCTCAAGGCGTAGTCTCCCGGTAGTAATTGGAAGAAGAGGAGGACTTTGGTCTTCCTCTTCTCCCTCTTCTTCTCTGGAGGCGCCGGAGTCCGACATAACCCGGTCTATTACCCCTCTCGACCGGGTATCCGTAAATGGATTCCCCAGCGCTAAAAAAAAAAAGGTTAGTTTTATAACTTCACTCTAATATCCTTACTAGTACCGACAGGCTTTAACCCTTTGAGGTCTACACGTATTGTGTATATATGTAATTTAGTTTTAGAACCGGAAAGGGTTAAAAATGATTATTTTATTTGTGGGTTCAGTTTATTATTTAAGCGTGTTATGTTTAAGTTTTAATACTGCATATATTACGAGTATCCTATTGCTGATTTAATTATCCTATTGTATTCATTGGACAATGATGCCATTATTTGTCCAAATAAATTGAAAACCATTGAACACTGTATTCACAACGTATTCTTCACTTACGTAAATGTGAAAAACGTCAATTGGTTAAATGGGCACGTGCCTCATTTGCAATACGTCAATATAATAAATATAGTAATATCAGATAAACTATATCTAAATTAATAGAAACAAGTTTATCAAATTCTATCAAAATCGGATGAACTCATAAAAGACAAAAACACACATGCGATTGTTGTTCCGTATCTAAATTATAATGAAATTAACTTCACCTTCATTGACGTTCAAGGATTGATCAATTACACAAATCGATCCATTCTCGAATTACCAGCTAAACCGATAAGTTTAAGTACGCACTGGTTTTATTGCTTATCCTTAAAATGCTGCTTCAAAAAAAATCTTATCTTATCTTAAGCTCTATGTTTTGGTTAGTATATAACTACATATATAATTAACAACTTTCAACATTTTGTTAATAAATCTGTTAATATTGGAACTAAATTAACTTTGTTTTGATTTAAAAAGAATAAGCAACATACATTGCTTAAAAATACTGCTTAATATTACAAATACCTACTATTCCAAAATATATGCTCTCAACACTCAAACATTTTATTGGATCTTGTAATTACAATTACAATGTAATTGCAAGTTTTAACTAAAATAACAATTCAAGTAATACATTTTGATTGTAAGCTGTCACTATACATAATTCTCTTGCAACAAAATCCCTTCAAATTGTTTTGTTTTACAATTTGTAGCAGC